GTCTCCTCAAATTAGTTCAAACAAAGGATTACAATTATTAAACATTTCTCTGAAAACAGGGGTGAAAGACGCAAAAGGTTGCCTCTTTCTAAGACTTTTGTGAAAAAACAGTGCAGCTAATAACTGTAATAACAGAGCTCCTCCAGTCTAGGATAACAAACCATCACTGCAGGGGGGAAGACTAATTGCTGGACCACACCGCCCTTTTCCTAACATGACGCCAAAATAAACGTAACTGTAAGACTGAATAACCTTAGCTGTCCAGTAGAAAGCCTGTGACTCCACATCAGCTGTCTCCAGCTGGTAAAAGCTGCTTTCATTTTCTCCAGGTTATTACTTATTTTTTTCTTTTCATTTGTTTTTCACTCACAGAATATGGATGGTCCTCCAACACGTTTTTTAGATTGAGTTAAAAAAAGTTTTTCCCCTTTCGCCTACTCTGATCCAAAACGGTGGCACAATACGGCGTCCTTTACCGAGTGCGCCGCCCCTTATCCATGTATTAACTACTAACTCTAAGCTATAAGAATGCTTTTATTTTTTAATTGATATTATTAGACTTTTGCAAAAAATGTATATATTAAAGCAATACATAGTTTTTGCTTATACAGTTTTTTTTAAAACACACTGTCCCTTTAAAATTAGCCCTTATTGGTTACTCATCAACAAACCCTCACCTTAGTGCGACTAACAGACTCCTCCTCTTTGGCTCAGCTGGCTCCTCGCCATCCGAGTAGAAGCCTGTGTCTTTGTCGCTGTCGTCTTCTGAGCTAACAACCTTGAGGGGGGATGGAGAAAAAACAAAAAACAGAGAGGAAAAATAATAAGTACGTAAAAGCTGTACTTTTATCACACAGTCAAAGGTTTTGCTAACGATACCCTACCTTGGCGTTTTGCTGTTTTTGCAAACATCTTCTGTCTTCTTCTGCTTCATCCTCGCTGAAACCTTCAAACTCCTCCTCACTGTCTGATTGGCTAAACAGATGAGCCAGTTCAGGAGTGATGTACTGGGATTTGAAAGTTGAAGCCTGTTGACAAACATCCGGCATAAAAAGCGTTTTGTTTGCTTTTAAGGGGAAAAAGAAAAGCACAGAAGTACTTTTTGTTCATTTCTGAGTAATGGATGGAAAACATGGCTTCATCATCAGGATAGACACTGAGGCTTAATTAAAGGAGAAAAGGAATTAATAAATTCTTGGATTCTACACCAGAGGGAGACAAAATCCATCAGTTGGCCCAATCTGACACTATAGAGTGAAAGCAACTGTAAAAAAGAGAGAGCAGAAAACCCTCAGCAGGGTAAACAGGACTGTGGCTGGCAGTCACCAAGAAACTTATCTTGAGGACTTTGCACTAGCAGGAATCCAGCTCAGCACCAAATAAATCCTTATCACAACAGGCTTCCTGTGCAGAAGCTTGCTGAATAAGACAAAGTGAAAAAGGAAAACACACTTCACCTCTTTTTTTTCCTTCCCTTGAGCTTTACTTCTCCAAAGTTTAAATCTTGTATAGAAAAAGGTTTTATGTGCTATAAGAAAGTCATAACTCAACTCAGACATTTTCTGCTTTTCTCTTTTGACCTAAATCATACCTCCACAAGCCAGAACATGCCATTGTTTCTCATACTTTATGACCGATTGTAAATCCTTTTTAGCCTCCATTAGATGGCATTACATAAACACCACTGCTACCCCTCGCAGGCAAACCTTTTTCTTGTAACCATTATAGAAATTAACTTTTATGAAATACTGTCAAATTAAACTTGAACATCAGTGTTTGGTTGTTGTTTTTTTGTTTGTTTACAACCCTTCTGTGACACATGCATTTCTATAGTTAAACACTCAGACCTTTCTGCAAAATCAATAATAACTTTAGATGTAGCACCTGCAGACAATGTCTCTGTGTAAGCTCTTATATAAACTCCTCTATTTTTTGCAAATTATAATTCAATAAAGATAAAAAAAAAACAATCCACTATTTAAAAAAAAGCAACATATCTAAACAGTTTCTGTTGAAAAAAATTATTTTATGGGTCAAATAATCTGATATTGAGGGGCCGGGTAGGCAAGTAGGTAAAGAAGCTCAGAGGTAAGATGAGGCAAGGTCATTTAAGCAGTTACATCAAAAAGAGATTTATAAATTAAACTCTAAGATGCAGAGGTAGCCAGCAGAGCAAGGCCAGGAAAAGGAGTGATATGATCATATTTTGGAGTACCAGATATTGGGCAATCCTTTAAAGCTAATGTGTTTTAAAAAGTCTTGTACATATGTTTCATTAAGTTCCAACAAGATTTCCTGCAGAAAAATAATTACTTAATAATTCACTGACAGCATGGAGCAGCATTACAGCTAATTCCATCACTACCACACTGATAACTGATGAAAACAGAAGATAAAAACTATCCTCACTAAGAGCTCAGAAAGAGGGAGGTTTGAGTAAGCTGGACTAGTATGAGTTTAGATCAATTTAGTGTCACTGCACCTATAATGCAAAAAGGTAATCAGAATTGAATATTTACATTATTTATAAGAGATGACTGTGTGTACCCCACTTTCTGATATCGCCATCTCACAGTCTTTAAGTCTAAATGAGTGACACTGTCTTATTAGAGGCGTATAAGAGGGGTGGCCAAAACGAGCCAGAACCTCAGGGTCAATCTCTACCGTTCCAAAACAAACAACCACAATATCCATGTTTTCTAAATAAAAACTTACTATATTTTCCTACAGCCTTTTCTATATAATAAATGCAGATATTTAAACATCTATGCTGTCTAAATTAAAGGTATAGTGGACAAAATTCTTTCAGGTTTGAGTTCTGGGGCAACATCTTTTACATCTTAATTACCTACTTTTATCAATTCTGCCAAAAAATATATATTTACATGTACTATTATCTACATTTAATGAATGTTTAAGTCATTATTAAAGTAGTTATTTATCTCTGATTTCACTGATGACTTGCAGAGATGCATAATCTTATCTTTATCCCCCAAATAATTCAAAATTTTGTTCTGAAAAGAGCATGAATTCTGTATTTATCATCTTTAATGTTAGTACATTGATGTGCATGTGCATTAGCCACAGTGTTTCTGTTGTAAAGTAATTGCTAATATATTAAAAATGTAAATGTTTAATAAGTTTAAACATTCCCCTTCAGAGCTGCCACTGTCTGTATTAGAGGGAAAAACTGGTAGGGGTGGCCACACGGGGCCCATGGCCCTCCATCTAGCTCCGCCCCTGTTAATTATCATCCATAATATTTATATTTTTCTATTGTGATGTCATCAAGCCAAAAATAAAATAAGGATGCAGTGTTTTTTTATTTATTTATTTATTTTTTACGTAAGCGTCAAAATGTTGGTAAAATACTGCAGAAGAAATCGATGATGCCAGACCCAGCTGTGTTTCTTTTGCAATTTTATGTTTGTTTGGGGGAAAAAATACACTTATCGGCAGCAACAGTAAAGCTCAAGTCTTGAAGTTTAAATAAAACTTTTTAACACGGAGCATTCTCACCATTTATAACCTGAAAATACCTTCAGGCACATCATTTAGTAGGATCTAAACAGCAGGTTACAAAGTAAGAGCACAAAACCAAAACTAAGAAACACCAAACCTTTAAAGCCATGCATACAACAACCAGGCCGCCTCCGATGGTCATGGGAGTGTTTCTTTAAACAACCCACATTTACTTATATTTCGGAAAAGAAAAGACATATTGGTGTGCATGCTGTCCTCGGATACCTACCTTTGAATTGAGCGTCATTTTGGTGTATCCGTTGTGTATTTCAAGACAAAGTTAAAGATAGCGAAATGAATGAGAAGTGTATTTAAAAGCGGCCCTGCAGAGACCCGGGCACTAAGAAAATGGGGGTTGTAAGGTTGGAGGTGCCTGCGAGTAAAATTCCATTTAATAGCAATAATAGGAAATAACGTACCACTTCATTTGTATTCGTGGGATAAGATAAACGTTTAGTCCACTTTAAGATTCACGTATCTCAGCTTATTTTTATTTTTATAGGAAGTCGGTCTGCCGATTCTCCCTTTAAATGTAGAATGGTACGTTCCAGGTTTTCGCGCGGAAACAGCAATGGGCGTGTTAGTGCGGCCCAAATAACAGCTCATATCCCTTTCAGTTTATTAACCTTTATAAAAGTTTTATTTGTTCCAATAATAGTGTGATTATACGACCATATTCTGGAAAAAAAATAAATATAAATTTTGTTTCCATGTAATTACATTTAAAATAAGTAAAGTTTATTAAAGTTTATTTCTATAACACATTTTAAAGCAAGTTGATTAAATTAAAGTATTAGTATAACAAAAACAGCAGCTTAACCAATAGAATATGAAAAAGGATGAAACCCTAACAAACAAACTGACTCATAAATACCTTGCCCTGTGTTGCTCTGTGTGCTATGCATGTTTTCTTTCTTTTTTTTTTATTAGACTTGATGTATGAAATAAAGTGCAAAGACAGACCATTCCATACATTAGGGAGCTCTTATATAAATATATTTTTTAACCTATGCTTTTGAGCCTGGCTATAGGGCTATGGAGCAGCGACAAATGGATTCTATACATTAAATATTGAGGCACCATATCATTAAGTGTCAGGATCCTTGGTACTTTACATTTGTGTTACTTTTGTACATTAAAAGGGTTGATATATCATTGTGAGGTGTTGTCTTGTTAAACTAATCCATTTCTTAACAACTAACCACCTGATCAGCTGGGAAGAAGGGATGATAACATTGAAGCAAAACTTGTCAGGCATTACAACCTCAGCTTTTCAGATGGATTTTTTTTTATTATTATTTCATCAGCCACTGATAAAATAGTAGTTCTTTAGAATATGAACTATTCAGATCTCATTGTCTTCACAAAAACAAATATGTGCAGTGTGTGTTTTTTGTCATTGGCTTCTTATTAATTCTTGTTTTCCTTGATGAAAGTGTTCCTGAAATTTCCATCAAATTTAATTTAGTTCAAAAATACTTTATTGATCAGCTATTGGCATGAAGGATCCCCTGTCTTACAGCGGCTCTGGAGAAGCATCTTACTGATCACACTCTTCACCGCAGATTTATAGAAGACAAACCTAGTTTTAATTTAGAGTATTTCAGGTAAAGGGAAAAGTGCTTATGAAAAAGACAATTAATTTAAACTTTGGACGTTCCCATAAAAAAAATCAAGAGTGGCTGCCTTTAATGGTTTGGTCTTTTCTGAGAGAATGGAGAAGTCCGTTATGCAGCAGACCCAAAAGTGAGTGCAGGCAGAGGCAGCCTGGTAGGTGGAGATAGTTTATTAAAGGAAACTTGACTTGACATAGAGCGTGAAAAAATTGCTAGGTTAATATTGTGGCTCAGACCAAAAAACAGGTAGAAACAATCATTCTAATTGAATAGCTGAAGTATGACAAAAACAAACAAGAAAGGAATTAATGAAACTATGAATAATCACAAAAACATAATCAGAGCTAACAAGAAAACCACAAAAAACAGTGAACCTGGCGAAAAAACAAACATCTCAAAATCTTTAAAATGTTTCTAAATTTATATGAGCTTAAAAAAATAGTCTCTAATACAGACACTCCATAGTAGACATGAATTCTCTATTACTAAAATCTTATTGAATACGATCTAGGAAACTATATTAGGGGCTAGATAAAGGCTGTGCGACTTGCACAGACCGAGGGGTAATAGTCAGAACAATGTGCATCATTCCATTTTTTATCTTGATCAAAGTTAGTATGAACACAATGTTCAGCTCCACCGTTGTTGTTTGGCTCCCCGGGACCCCAAGAGAAAAATTTTGCTGCAGAACCATCAGACCACATATAGCCTCCTTCCTTATGGATATCACTGAGTCCGATCCATGTGCGTCCTTCAGCAGTGTCAAAGTTCTTGATCAGAGATTTAACAAAATCATGCTCTGCAAAGCTGTGGACAGACACCAGGTTGGCTCCTTCTGATACACAGTGCAGCTCTGCTTTGCTCCAGGTCATGAGTGTGGCGACGTACTTGTAGCAGCGGCCATTGAAGCTGTACCAGAACATGGGGCAGGTGCCACGCTCCAGCCTTATTTCCTGTTCAGATGAAGTTGACACTGAACCCAGAGCTAAAGCAAACAATAAGAGGAACAGGATCATGATTTCAGTTTAATCTGCTTTGCTTGGTAGGACTGAAATTTGAGACAGGCTCTTATAAAGCCTCTAAAATTTTTATCTGCCCTCTTGAAGGGTTTTGATTGGTTAAATACATTAAGCAAATATTTACTTTTGTGACACTGAACATAGTATGACCTACATAACAAACCAAATGCTTTTGAATAACTTCAAAACATTTCATAGAGTCTTTATTCAAATTAAATTATTTTTAGCCTTCACGTTTTTTATGTAAAACAGATTATTAATGTTAAATTAAAGATCACACATGGCAAAAAGAATATTGCATACAGTGTCTAGTTAAAATTATTTATACTTTTTGAAGATTTTACTTTTAAAGACATTATATTCACAGTGATATTTTATGGCTTGTTATGTTACAGTCTTATTAAATATTGCACAATTAATTCAAAAGGGAAAAGGGTGCACCACTTACAAATTTTCTTAGCAAATAAAAATCTTAAAATTAAGTTCTCCATCTGTAAATAGTCTCACTGAGTCAATACTGTTGGGTTTTAATCCAGAGAAATGTGAGTTTAAAAGATTAAAAGGAAAATGATCAACACAGAGACGGGATTTTGTGACGTCAGCGTGTGCCGGGTGGAGAGAAGAATGCTGGCTTGGAAAGCCATCACCTTCTCCCACAGATCCCTTCATGGCAAAACCTTTTATTAACAGTTTACAACATCAAACAGGCGGGCCTAAAACAGAAGAGCCAGTAATCATTGTCTGGGAGGATGCAGGTAACAAGATAGTGTGAATTGACCAACTGGCTGGATGGAAGTCACACATCCGTGTGATTCTGCCTCATGACCTACAGGAGGTCATAAAAGTTTATGACCCTTCTGGTTGAAACACAGAATAGTTATCACTCTAACATTTCCCTCCTCTTATACATAAAAACATCAGCATATAGCACTTCTAAAAAGATTTTCACTACATACATCATGAATGCATTGCAGATAGGGAATTCAGTAATCAAAGTTTAATATGCAAAACACAACTATATTGAAAGGAAAATTCAAGCACAAAGGTAAAAAAGAATGTAAAAACTTTAAAAATAATCTGTCCCTTGAGTAGGCAAAACTCTCCAATAGAGAAAAAATTCCTACCCAGCCCCTCCCGAGGAGGCGACCATTATCCCTGTAAAAGATTACATAACTTCATCATCATCATTATCTTCATCAGCATCTCGGCGGAGTTGAGCATAATTGATAGCTGAATATTGGATTAGAGTGGTTCCTATCATTTTCTGAAACATTGATTGCAGGCATGGTATTAAGCAACAAATAAAAAGGAAAAATATGATTAACAATCCTATAAATGGTAAAGCTATCTTCATCAGTACCTGCCACCATGATCCCATGGTGAACCAAACTGTCCATGGTGCTGGAACTGCACCGTATGGATGACTTTCTGTGGATCCATCAAAAATCATCCTGCTCTTCCTTTGTTTCAGACGGTCAGTTTGAGTCCCTAGAGACACCACTCCAACGGTCACCACCAGGCAGATGAATGTCATTAGTTTTTCCATCTTCATCAGCTCTTAGTTATGGGGTTCCTGTGAAGGTAATTGGGCTTCTTGCTGTGGAAAGTTTTTAATCAGTTTACAATGACTCTGGTGGATCCAAGTGTCTCTCTCCTGGATTTTCACGGCAGTGGGGGTTGTTAGTTGCACTTTGTAGGGTCCTTCCCACCTCGGAGCTTTCCAAGTTTTCCTTTTGATGATTTTAATCAGCACTCGGTCTCCAGGCTTCAGGCCTTCCTGTGGGGAAACAAAAGGAGCACTAGGCAGATTACATGTTTTCCGAACAGTTTTGTCGCTGAAAAGCTTCAGCATCCACTTAGTTAGCGGGTCAATGTCATCTTGTTCTTTTTCTGCCCATGGCTTTCCTGTTTCTGCCATGAATTTTCTCAATCTATTTTTAACATCCTCGAACCATTTAACTGGGTTCTGTCTGGCTGGAGTTAAACCTTGACAGGCAGTCTGCATCTCTGCATCTGTCCGTGGCCCACACACAAGAACAGTGGGTCCACAATCCAGTGGGTCACCATCTTGGGGTCCCGTGTGTTGACCACAATGAGGGTTGGCCACCTCCAACACCGGAAAAGCACATGCCCCCCTCCCAGGATCTTGGTCCTGTTCTTGTTTTTTTAATTCAGCCAATCTTGGACGAATAGGGGCAGATGGGCCCCTTCCACAAGCCTCCACTTGATAATCATCCCTGTAACACTTCGAATCAAGCTTCACATCCCCCCCTGATCCTCCCAACTCATGCTCACAAGAGTCAGGGGCACTGAGTTCCATACCATCCATAGAGGACGACACGGACAGGGGGCCTGCTCCTGCTCCTCCAATATCACCACACGATGGTGGGGCTACTGGAGGAGGAACAGTGGCATGGCTGTGTTCACATTCACCGTGATGGGGTTTATCTCCACCTTCCTGCGCAGCTGATGCCACTGCTTGAACCCCATCACCCCCTTGAATTTGATTAGGGTCAGGATATTGAGGAAGCATTCGGGATACAACAGTTTCTTCATCAGCTTTAACTTTTACAGCAGCAATTGTAACTGTCTTTCTATCCTTCTTCTGTTGTATTTGGCTTTCCCTATTTTTTGCTTTTCTGTATTTAGCTTGTTTTCTTTTTGATTTATACACCAACTTCATCTCCACCTTCTGCTGAATCTTTGTCAGCGGCTCAACTCTCAACTTTCCATCCCAGTCCTCCTTCTCAATCCACTTTCTGGCAAACTCTGGGTCACCACCACAACACGCCACCATCCATCTAACATCACCTGGCATTTCCTTCTTACTACTGCCTTGTCCCATTTTTAAAGAATTTAGTCCAGTACACAGCGGTTCGATTGTTTCCTCACACACTTTCACACAGTCACACACACCTAAGGCCTAATATCTTTTATTTTTTAACCAACATAGAGTCCCAGACTCGAATGCACAGAATACCCAGGTCCCAGACTTGTAAACAAAACTTGGTTTCGTCAAATATTCTTGCAACTACAACCAGTTATAGCTTGAACACAGAGGGTCCCAGACCCAAACGCACAGAATACCCAGGTCCCAGACTTGTAAACAAAACTTGGTTTCGTCAAATATTCTTGCAACTACAACTAGTTATAGCTTTCACACAAAGGGTCCCAGACCCAAACGCATAGAATACCGATCCCAGATCTCTCACAACAAACCCTGTTTGTCAAATATTCTAGCGACTACAACTAGTTATAGCTTTCACACAGAGGGTCCCTGACCCAAAACGCATAGAATACCGATCCCAGATCTCCCACAACAAACCCTGTTTGTCAAATATTCTAGCGACTACAACTAGTTATAGCTTTCACGTGGTCCCAGACCAACTGTTGGTAAAAAACTTTAGGCGTACCGTTTCTGTGCAGATCAGTCCTCAGCTTGAGTCGTCACCAGGATGTCCAGGGCAGGGCTGGACCAACCTATTGGCTCTGTCCGGCAAAGGGTGGACGGCTGTCGATAGTTTCTTGGCCTTGGTCCCGCACGGTCCTGGACAATTGGATCTTGACTCCCGGGTTTTCAGCACCAAAAATATTGGGTTTTAATCCAGAGAAATGTGAGTTTAAAAGATTAAAAGGAAAATGATCAACACAGAGACGGGATTTTGTGACGTCAGCGTGTGCCGGGTGGAGAGAAGAATGCTGGCTTGGAAAGCCATCACCTTCTCCCACAGATCCCTTCATGGCAAAGCCTTTTATTAACAGTTTACAACATCAAACAGGCGGGCCTAAAACAGAAGAGCCAGTAATCATTGTCTGGGAGGATGCAGGTAACAAGATAGTGTGAATTGACCAACTGGCTGGATGGAAGTCACACATCCGTGTGATTCTGCCTCATGACCTACAGGAGGTCATAAAAGTTTATGACCCTTCTGGTTGAAACACAGAATAGTTATCACTCTAACAAATACTTTATATAATCACCTTTTGCTGTAGTTGCAGCTCATAGATCTTTTCGAAATATCTATAGCATCTTCTGACTTAACATTTATTCTGATGTTTATTCTCATGTTGAATATCTTAAACTCAGTTGATTTCGACAGAGAATATGTCCTTGCTGAAGAAAGGCAGCCGGCAGCTAACCAGTGTTTCGGTTTGATGATATATATATTTATATATATATATATTTACAATGTATTCAGAGTACATGTCACTGCAGATATATATTTTTTGTAATATTGAAATTAAAAAAGGATTTTAGTGTGAATAATTAGCACACTGTTTAGATTTGTTAGTTTTTTGTCAAAAAAAAAGAATGTATTAAAATAGTTAAAACACAGATGAAGAAAAATTTCAGCTTGTTAAAAATACTTTGTCCCCTGTTGCATTATCTTCTGCAAGCATCACAACAAACCAAAGCTGTTCATATTCTTAATGATTTTAGCCTCTCTGCAGACTGGTTTTTTTATTGACCTTTAAAACATAAAATACATAAAAAAAAAAACAATTGAAAAAACAACTGAGGTAGAATAGGTTGGTACTAAGTTGAAATTTATTCCTCAATTTATCTTAAGGCACACTGTCTGCTAAACTAGTAAACCCTGTATCCTTTTCGTATTATCTTCTGCAGCTTTTTGCAAAGGCCATTTTGTTCCATCTTTAGAGGATTTTTTTCACCGCCTGAGAACAACAAATTTTGTTCAGCTGTGTCACTTGGCAACTTTAGATAATTTATCTGTTTGAGTTTTAACCAGCAGCCACCAGGCAGAGGCCAAGGACACCCATATCAAAATAGCCGGTCTAATAAAAATAGAGCAGAAACAACTCAATTAAATTCAGTTTATTTATATACAGTAGAGCCAATTCACAACAAGTCATCTCTAGTCACTTTACAAAGACAATCAGATCATACAGTCAAATTGGTTCAAAGTTTTCTGTCTTAAGAAAACCTGCTGATTGTATTGATTCATTGATTCAATAGTAATCCCTCACAACAACCATACTTGCTGGAACAGTGGAGGGGAAAGCTCCCTTTTAAAAGGAAGAAACCTCCAACAGAAGCATGCTCAGTGTGAGTAGCCATCTTCTGAGGCCCACTGGGGTTCAAAGAGACAAAAGCAGACATAGAAAAAGAAGCAGAAATACCAAAGGCCTGTCCTAACTGTGGTGTAACTAGCGCCACAGGTGGCCCCGTCCAGCAAACACACAGCCAGGCAGACGAGCTCAGAGCCAGCTCCAATGTCAGAGGATGAAGAAGAGTACATACAGTTAGTCACAGTCAGATTCACAGGACTACACTTAAAAACAGGTCAAGCTCCAACATTTATAAACAAATGTGTTGACGGCAGCAGCACTGCTGATATTTCTCTCCAGGATGGTGTCACAGCCAAACAGGAACAGACCAGATAAAGCTACTATGATGGGACAAAGCAAAGAGTTGGTGTGAATCCCAGAGTTATTCAAACTCAAGTCTCCTAGTTCACAGTCAAAGACTTAACCACTTAATCATCTAGACTCCCTTATTTCTACTCCATGACATGATTTTGATGGTTTGGCTGGTTAAGGCTTCTGACTTACATACAGGAAAAGCTATTAGAATGACATGAATCTGATAGCTGAAGTGTTGAGTACAATTTATTAATGTGAAACAGTAAATGTGGTCCAGTGGCAACTGTGAACAGAAAATCAGGGAAATCTGTGAGTCTGCAGTTTGGGAACTGAAAGCTCTAAAAGACAGAATCAGGTGAATGGAGAAATAAAGGTAACAGGAAGGCGGGAGATGATCTGATCTTAGCTGGACAAGATTTGAAGGTCTGACAAGGGCAAGGTGAGTGGTCAGTGGGGTTGTACTGCTAGGATTGTGGTTGGTGATTGATGGTTTGTTTGGTCCACAGAAGGTGAGGACTCCAGAAAGTAATGAAACTGCAGAGGCGCTAAGGGCACAGGTAGTGCAGCAGGCAATGTCACAGTTTGATAGTGTAGCCAGATTAGGGGAGACCAGGCATAGGAATGAAGTGCGGCTATCCGCGGAGGTTCATCAAACAACAGAGGTAAGTTCTCTACGCAACATGAACACAGGGAACTGGAATGCAGGTGGCTACTAAAGGCAATTAACATTCAGACAGAGAGTGATTGGCTTCCTGTTTCACTTATACTGTTTGAAGAATGAGCTGATGAGCTGATGAGGTGCACTTGTAGGAAGGTGCAGCTGGAGATGGCAGCCCAGCCCGGCAGTCAGCATGCAGGAGGAACTCTGGTAAAGAGTCTACAGAACTGAACCAGGTAGAGCACAGAAGAAAAAGACAACCCCATTACCTGATAACAAAATTATTATTCTTTTGCTGTTAAGGGGACCATAAATTGCTGTGAAATAAGGGCCTTTGAGTTTGACACCTGTGTTGTGGAGGAAAATGGGATGTTTTGGCCAGGGGAAATTATGGTAGAAACTGAGGATGACTGTGCTGATGAAGATTCTCAGTCATCCAGGTCATAGTCATTCCGTAAATGTTTAAAAAGCAATCCACTGGACTTGGTTTCCAAGGCTTGAAGACGTTTCGCTTCCCCTCCAGGAAGCTTTCTCTTACAATTCAGTTATTGAGATGATTCCTTCCAGGTATCACCACCACCCCCACCCCATCACAGAGGAACAAAGTACCTCTTCTCTTCAGCCAGGTGAACAATCCCTCCTTTAAAGACCGACCCTTTAAAATCATAGACAGGTTTCAGGTATTACAGAAGACAATCTCCCCTTTAACGACAATCCCCCCCTTTAAAGACCGACCTTCAGAATCATAGACAGGTTTCAGGCATTACAGGAGACAATCTCCCCTTTAACGACAATCCCCCCTTTAAAGACCAACCTTCAGAATCATAGACAGGTTTCAGATATTACAGGCTAACAATAGAACCAAACGACCCACTCGTCGGTTTCAATTGCATGTTTCCAAGCAATACAAGGCCTTATCTACACAAAGCATCAAACTTACTGCGGATCCAGACATTTGAACTGAGAAAGCTTCTTGGAGGGGAAGCGAAACGTCTTCAAACCTTGGAAACCAAGTCCAGTGGATTGTTTTTTAAACTTTTACGGAATGAGGATGACTGTATGTAATGAGAGGTATTAACTAGCACATCTTTCATATTAGAGGTGTTAATTTGGAGAAATGTGGACTTTGTTCATGCGTTGCCTCCTTAAGACAGGATGTTAGAATTGAGACTGGTGATGGTGAAGTTGAAGAGAGATGCAGGTAGGGTTTATTATGGAACTGTGTGTCATCTGCATAACAGTGAAATGAAACAATGTGGTGAATAATGATTTAACCAAGAGGAGTATGTAGAAAGTAAACAGAATGGGGACCAGGACTTGACTCTAGGGGAATGCATAATTGACCATGTGAGTGCATGACCTGGCATCTTTAGTTGAAACTAATTCAGCAACAAGACAGTAGTGGAGCCGACCCAAAGCAGTGCCAGTTCTAAGCAAGTAGAGGAGGATGCCATGACCCACGCTGTCAAATGCTGAAGTCTACAGCAGACAGGGAGACCTAGCATCAGCTGGCATGGTGAAGG